GGAAAAATGGATGACAAAGGTGATGGAGTTGGTGGAGATGGTAAAAACTGACTGTTTTAATTAAAGAGAAGAACCTTATCTAGTTTTGTTTCTACTTGGAAACCACTTCTGGACCTTGTACTCGAAAGTGAAAATAACGAAACCTTGATTTTAGGTTTTGATTATTAGAACGAGTCTGTTCTTATAGATTTGGCTTGAAATATTTAGAAATGTAAAGCAAAAGGTTGAAGTTATAACTTTTTTATATTTACTGTACAGAAGTGGGAAGTCAATATTTTTCTTTTGTTTTTCTGCAGCATTCTACTTTCCTCTTTAACTATCCTAACTTTTGTTTCTATTTGCATTTTACTTTATAAGAGAGACAACGGTTTATGTCTGCCCCTTGTTTCTCAATTTCGTGGGACCTATACATATTTTTCCCTCTGGTTAAAACTATCAGTCAAAATTGTTCAAGTTCTAAAAGCTTTACCTGATTTTAGATCAGGCTATTTGAAATAGCATATTTTATCATGTAAATCCACTAGGTTATAAAACCTTCAAGAGATGTCTCTTGTCTTGTCTCACCAGTATTTGAAACATGTTAGATATAGTAGTGGCCAAAATTATGGAAACCTTTTGGGAAAAGCATACAGTAGAAATGCCACCTTTGGTTAAGTTTCCACCAATTTTTCTTCTAATTTCTTTATAATTATAGCCTTGTTCACTTAATAATACTATTTTATATCGCTATCTGGGCAACCAGTCAGCTCTTTGCACCATTACTTTAATTTTATTACGTTTTACAAGCTCACTAAATGAAAACACACAAAAAAACCCCCAACCAATTTGATAGTGATCACATAACACACTGACAAATGTCCTCTCTCAGCTTCAATACATGACATCAATAACTGAATCATACTGTGATCTGATTGGCTCATTGCCAAAATAAGATGACACCTGATTGGCTCTCTAAACACTCATGCTCATTGGCTACAATCAGATGAAGGAAAGCTACCTGATATCAACCTAAGCAAGTTGTGCTTCCTTTTTCTGGTTATTTGGCTATAACTTTTCATAGACTACAGTACAGATAACTGATCAAACTTTGTTGCATTACATTCTTGATTAAATTATCTTTCCACTGATATATAATTTTATGGTACTACTCCCTCCCAAAAGTGGTGTTATTAGCCATCAAACCTCAAAAATACACTTTTCCCATAAGGTTTCCACAATTTTGGCCACTACTGTAGGCCTACAGAAAAGTCATTTACAATGGCACTTCCTTTACTTTGGCACTTTGCTACTTCCACCTTTCTGTACTATGGCTCTAATAATGAATATGATTTCAATGCATTGGTAGAATTATTTTAAAAACATATAGAAACTCCAAAAATTCTTTCTATGTAATATATGTTCACAATACTTTCTTGCTATTATCTTTTGCGTGAAGCAGCTTCATGCAAAGCACAGAAAAAATATAAAAACTAGTAAACATGGCAAAAGCAGGATAGTAGCTAAATTTACACCAGTAATATGTATTTTTTCATACCTTTCTCATTTTGAAACTTTACTGCAACATCCATTTCGGACATTATCTTTCGTTCTTTAAACTTCTCACTTCCTTTTTTTTGAGAATCTCACTAACTCCACCCAAACACAATTTTCTTGCTTGCTGCCTATCTTTACACTCACTCTTCTTTTTTAAAAAGTGTGATTTTAAAATTACATTTAAAAGAATATGAATTATTTTCTATTCAAGGATCAGCTGGCAATTATAGCAACACTAAAAAGTCTTACATTTCTGACTTTTTTTTAAAATGGGCAGCAACCATTGGGGAATATTTTTAATAAAAAATAGCCCAGTAAGTTTTGTACAGGTAGTCCTCAACTTACACAACTGAGTGCAAATTTTCTGTTGTTAAGTGAAACATGTCTTAAGTGAGTTTTGCCCCGTTTTACGATCTTTCTTGCCACATTTGTTAAGTCAAATCATATTTTTCATTGGCCGTTGTAACTCTGAAGAGTTACTAAATGAACTGCTGTAAATCGAGGACTACCTGTATTTCAACCTACATGCATGTCAATCATAGCCACTCTGGTAGAAAAACAGGACTCTATGAGATTGAGGCCTTTGAACTGTGGTGCTGGCATAAAAGATTGCATAAACCATGGACAGCCAGAAGAACTAACAGAAGGGTGCTGAATCCTATTAAACCAGAAACAACACTAGAATCCAAAATCACAAGACTACATCTGACTTACTTTAGCCATGTCATGTGTGCAAATTCATTGGAGAAACCAATGATGCCAGGAATGGTTAATGGATCAAGAAAAAGGGGCTGCAAAGAACTCGCTGGCTTAATATGATCAGAGCTGACACAAAGATGAACATCCAACAATTGAAAAAAGCTGGACTTGATGGGATATTATGGAGATCACTTGCCTATAAAGTCGCCAAGAGTCAGAACTGAATGAATGAATAAAATGTTTGAAATTCAGACAGGCCCATTTTGAATATCAAACAACTATTTTGAGTTTGAAAAGCTTCCAAACTGATCAAAGCAGTCTTCTTCCACTTCAAATAATTTTCGTGCTTGAAATAGGGTAGTTCAAATTTTAAGTTTTTCCAGTTCTAAATGTTTTGCATAGATCTAGCTAGAAAGGTTTTTTTTAAAAAGCAGGCAGGGTTCCCCCCTCCCCTTTTTCTAATAACTAACTAAAAGAGAGGTTTGGTGTTTTGCTTTACAGCATAATTTGTAGAATAGCTTGATTTTTAAAAATGAAAAGGGTAGAAATCTGGGACTGATGGCTTATTCCAAAGAGTAATTTCCACTTATTGTCTTTCACAGATACCTCTCCTTCACATACAGTGAGGCAAAAAAGTATTTAGTCAGCCACCAATTGTGCAAGTTCTCCCACTTAAAAAGAAGAGAGAGGCCTGTACTTGTCATCATAGGTAGACCTCAACTATGAGAGACAAAATGAGAAAACAAATCCAGACAATCACATTGTCTGATTTAGAAAGAATTTATTTGCAAATTATGGTGGAAAATAAGTATGTGGTCACCTACAAACAAGCAAGATTTCTGGCTCTCACAGACCTGTAATTTCCTCTTTAAGAGGCTCCTCTGTCCTCCACTCATTACCTGTATTAATGGCACCTGTTTGAACTTGTTATCAATATAAAAGACACCTGTCCACAACCTCAAACAGTCACACTCCAAACTCCACTATAGTGAAGACCAAAGAGCTGTCGAAGGACACCAGAAACAAAATTGTAGACCTGCACCAGGCTGGGAAGATTGAATCTGCAACAGGCAAGCAGCTTGGTGTGAAGAAATCAACTGTGGGAGCAATAATTAGAAAATGGAAGACATACAAGACCACTGATAATCTCCCTTGATCTGGGGCTCCACGCAAGATCTCACCCCGTGGGGTCAACATGATCACAAGAATGGTGAGCAAAAATCCCAGAACCACACGGGGGGACCTAGTGAATGAACTACAGAGAGCTGGGACCAACGTAACAAAGGCAACTATCAGTAACACACTACGCCGCCAGGGACTCAGATCCTGCAATGCCAGTCGTGTCCCCCTGCTTAAGCCAGTACATGTCCGGGCCTGTCTGAAGTTTGCTAGAGAGCATTTGGATCAGTGGTTCTCAACCTGTGGGTCAGGACCCCATTTGGGGTCAAATGACCATTTCACGGGGGTCGCCAAACAAGGCTGTCTGCCATTTTTTCCCCTTTTCTTTGGCCACGCCCCTGGCACCCAGTGATGTATAAGTGGTTGGGGGTCACCACAACATGGGGAACTGTATTATGGGGTCGCGGCATTAGAAAGGTTGAGAACCACTGATTTGGATGATCCAGAAGAGGATTGGGAGAATGTCCTATGGTCAGATGAAACCAAAGTAGAACTGTTTGGTAGAAACACAACTTGTTGTGTTTGGAGGAGAGAGAATGCTGAGTTGCATCCAAAGAACACCATACCTACTGTGAAGCATGGGGATGGCAATATCATGCTTTGGGGCTGTTTCTCTGCAAAGGGACCAGGATGACTGATCCATGTACAGGAAAGAATGAATGGGGCCATGTATCGTGAGATTTTGAGTGCAAACCTCCTTCCATCAGCAAGGGCATTGAAGATGAAATGTGGCTGGGTCTTTCAGCATAACTATGATCCCAAACACACTGCCCGGGCAACGAAGGAGTGGCTTCGTAAGAAGCATTTCAAGGTCCTGGAGTGGCCTAGCCAGTCTCCAGATCTCAACCTCATAGAAAACCTTTGGAGGGAGTTGAAAGTCCGTGTTGCCCAGCGACAGCCCTAAAACATCACTGCTCTAGAGGAGATCTGCATGGAGGAATGGGCCAACCTTGTGAAGACTTACAGAAAACGTTGGACCTCTGTCATTGCCAACAAAGGATATATAACAAAGTATTGAGATGAACTTTTGATATTGACTAAATACTTATTTTCCACCATAATTTGCAACTAAATTCTTTCCAAATCAGACAATGTGATTGTCTGGATTTGTTTTCTCATTTTGTCTCTCATAGTTGAGGTCTACCTACGATGACAATTACAGGCCTCTCTCATCTTTTTAAGTGGGAGAACTTGCACAATTGGTGGCTGAATAAATACTTTTTTGCCCCACTGTATTTGTCATTTCCTTAAGCCAGAAATGTCAAACATGCGACATCACGTGACATTGTGCAATGTATCGGCACGGTTTTGCCATTGCCGACAAAGGGGTGGGTACGGATTCTGGATGGCACGTCCGGCCTATGGGCTGGCAGTTTGACACCTCTGCCTTAAGCCATGGAAGGAAACAAGGCATTGCACAGATCATCAAAGAGAAACTTGTAGCTTGGTTTTCACAGATGACAATTTTCAGCGGAATATATATGGTAATCATCCAGTCAAAATCGCTGTTCCTGCATATCATTAAGCTCTTCTATAGTTATTAATACACTACTGGTCTCTCCTGTCTTGGGGTTTGAGCTGTCAAGTACCTTCTCTTCATCTATCTTTTGAAGAGCCTTTTTTTCATTGGATGTTCCTGTAACTGAATTCTTCTTGACTGTAAATGGAGAGAAAATTTTTAAAAGTGTCATTAACAGGTACAGGTTAATTCACATATGACTGGTCCCTTAATGACCTTACAAAGTTACTACAGAGTTACTTACAACTTGTTTTCAGTTAGGACAGCCTTATCCTTGGCACGGTCATGTGATCACATTTTGGAGACGGCTGTTTGTACCCTCTCAGTCACATGACCATAAATTGCAAATTATTTGATAGTTTCTGGCGTTTACTTCCAGTTTTTGGCACAAAAAGGACATTGGGGAAATGGATTTTCTTAACAACCACTGTCTTTGCTTAACTGCTACAAAAATTGTCATAATAACCTATGACTATAATTCCGGGCTTAAATATAGTCATAAGTCAAGGACTAGCTGAACAGTTTTCTCACTGGCTTTGCTTTAACAGAACATAATAGAGTTGGAAGGGACCTTGGAGGTCTTCTAGTCCAATCCTTTGCTCATGCAGGAAACCCTATAACATTTCAGACAAATGGCTATCCAATCTCTTCTTAAAAACTCCCAGTGTTGGAGCATTCACAACTTCTAGAGCCAAGTTGTTCCACTGATTGTTCTCACTGTCAGGAAATTTCTCCTTAGTTCTAGGTTGCTTCTCTCTTTGATTAGTTTCCACCCATTGCTTCTTTTCCTGCCTTCAGGTGCTTTGGAGAATAGCTTGACTCCCTCTTCTTTGTGGTAACCCCTGAGAAATTGGAACACTGCTATCATTTCACCCCTAGTCCTTCTTTGTCAACACTAATAAATCCTTCATTCACATGCGAATGATGAAGATACATGATGACAATTAACAATGTTTTATTCTCCTTCTCCAACTCCAAGCAAAAAAGCAAAAGGCCCGCAAGCCTTTTTATAGAGCTTAAAACCCGGACAGAGTGAACCAATAAGAATTCTTCTTTCTTCGCGCCTTGCGTATGCGCACAAGGCTGGTGCCGCTCTGTCTGGTCCTGGGCAGCTTTTAGAATGCCCGGGACCATTTGCAACATTTCTGGGCCTGCTGAGTTTCCTCATCAGGCCCAGGACACAACAAACACCATTAAAACCCTTCATTATTTTAGATGTGAAAGCTTACCTTTATATTTATAGTACATTATTCCAGCTCCTAGTGCTGATCCAAATCCAAATCCAAATCCAAATCCAATAGCCAATCCCGACATCCAACGACTCACTGAAATTGATGGAGTTATAGGGGTAACTGTGAGCCGAGAAGGTGAGAGAAAAAATGTATTCCTAGTACTTTGGGTACTTGGGAGACTGGGACGAATAATCGCATCTCCCTCACCTTCTGGCTTCCAAAGGACAGACTGTTCCAATGGGGTCTCCAAAGCTTCATGTTCTACTCGACAAACATAAGTGAGCTGAACATCACTCGTCTGTGGGAATAAGACACTGTTGATGGAAAACATCCCATTATGCATGCGGTGCACCTCCGACTTTACATATTCTTGTGGCACTCCGTTTTGCAACCACTGAATGTGGATTTGAGAGGGATAAAATTTGCTCACTTTGCACTCAGCTGCCACAAATTTCTCCCCCTTTGGCCTTGTGATCAGCTGAAGGATGGGGCGAGCTGTAAAGAGAGAAAGGAAACTTGAACTTCTGGATCCAATCGGCCAGTTTTTCTCAAGCTTGGCAACTTGAAGAGGGGTAGACTTCAATTCCCAGAATTCCTCAGCCAGCCAGCTGCCAAGCTTGAGAAACATTGCAATAGGCAATTGCCAATTGTCCATCCTTGAAGCCAGTCTTGGACCCACCTGAGATTACAGGTAGTCTTCAGGCTACAACCATTTATTTACTGAGTGTATGAACTTACAGTGGCACTGAAAAAATTAAGGTATGACCATTTTTCACACTTACAACCACTGCAGCATCTCCATGGCCATGTGATTAAAATTCAGACAGTTGGCAACTGGTTCATATTTATGATGGTCGCAGTGTCCTGAGGTCATGTGATCAGCTTTTGCAACCTTCTGAAAGCAAAGTTATTCTTGGCACAGCTGTTGTGTAAACTAGGGTCAGCTGTTTTAGCTGACCAATCAGGGAATACCAAAATCAGTGTCCAGCTACTGACTGTGCCCCTCTCCTATCTAAAACAGTCTTTCTTAAACCTGGTAACTTTAAGATGCTTGTACTTCAGAATTTTGGGAGTTGATGTCCATGCATCCTAAAATTATGTTTGAGAAACACTGATCTGAAACAAACACAGGTCATGAGCTACGAAGCTACTTGTCAATGGTGCTAACATCGGGTGTTCTTGCTTTGACAACACATGGAAATGCAGCCATTTTACTCTTTTGCTTTTAGAGTTAGTTGATGCTGGGAGGAGGAATGTGGATGAGAGTCCAGTTGGTCATAACAATAATAACTCAGCCGTGGGAATCCAAGGTTATTACGCCTAGAGTTGATAAAGATTTGGCGGGCTGGAGAGCTGGGGAGAAAGCCTGCACTTCAAGCTAATTGGGGAATGTGATTTTTCCAAAATGGTATAGGGTTTCCTGCCTGAGCAGGGGGTTGGACTAATGACCTCCAAGGTCCTTTCCAACATTATTATTATTATTATTATTATTATTATTATTATTTATGATTGTTAATTGGAGGAGGGAATTGTGCTTTGTTACTTTGTGCTCAGGGGAGGGGAATTCAGTTTTTGACTTTAACTATGTAGTGCCGATACTTTGTTTCTCGAATAAAAGATTATTTATGGTAAACAATGCCTCGAAGTTCTTTTGAAAAGTTTCATCTGTTGGAACCATGACACTATGGGCATTCTTGGATCCTACAGGGAGCCAAAATGCCTGATGCCCACCAGTGGGAAACCAGGCAGCTTCTAAGCCCTATGGAGCTTAATTGTGCTAGCAGAGGGAGAGGTTACAGGGCATAAAGTCCATATATTTACAATCTGAAAGAACCAATCTATCAAGACAGTAAATCTATTGTAGCTTTTATCATGTGCAGTTTGAACAACCATCATTACAGATATATGCAGTTACTGCAACACCCTTATGTTTTTATTTCTCTCTTCTCCTGACTTACAGCAACATCTCTGGGGTCCATATCCAATGTTTGGGGAGCTACGTGAAGCACTGGGACCTTAGATTGTGCACCACTGTGTCTGAAAGGTGCAAAGATGTCAAAATGGTGTGTGCCATGTTCTGATTCTACAGGGAGCACAATTTAGTACTTTAGTCTTTTTTGCCTGCTTAGCAAATATCCAAGTTGTGCATATTCTTCTGGGTGACATAAAATATCATATAGTATTTTTCAACTTAGTATTAGAACATATACAAGTCCCCAAGAGCTTCTCATCTTCCACTAAATACAGATTAGTTGAAAGAGTGACATTACCCAAAGGGCAGAAACGTCTCCAAGTTGAGTCTAAAGCTAGCTGTGAACCTAATGGCTGGTTCATGCTACACAACAGTATGGTTTGTTTGGTTCTGACTTTAGGATGTCACAATAACCAAGTCATATGAGCTTTGTCAGCTAAGGGTCTGTAACTGGGTGGGTCATGTAAATATAGTCAATTAGGACTTTTTAAAAAATAAAGATTTAAATAAGCAAGATGATGTTTTCTGCATTTTGTGAACCCAGCTCTGCCTTTCAGCCCAAATTTCATGAAACAGGTTAAAATAAAGAGGCTGTGACTGGACAGCTAGAGAAAGGCTGCCAGCAATCCTTGCTTTCCAAGCAAAAGGTCAAACTCACCTTGCAACTGCAGCTGGAAATTTAGTACCTCTGGCCCTTCATTTGCTTGATGGTGGATATGGCAAGAGAAGTTGGCATTGGCATCCGAAAATTCTGGTATGAGCTCCAAGATACTTTCTGCTCTGAACAACTGGCCAGTGCTGGGTTGAGCAGGAGGCTGTTCGGGGCCTTGCACAATCCTATTATTTCGGAACCACGTCATGGATATATTGCCAGGATAAAAACCTGCTGCCATACACACAAGCGTACTTGGCTTGGTCAACTGCACTTTTGTGGAGCCAAGTTTAACAAGTGGGGGAGCTGGAAACAGAGAGGATAGAAGAAGACATTTTTACTATCTAGGAACCTGATTAAGTCCATTAGTCAGCATCCAAGGCCAACAGCTGTGATCCACCTACTGCTATATAGTATTGTTTGGAAATGTGCAAGTCAATATCTGGAAACCGCAGGCAAGACAGAATGGGAAAACTCCAAAAACAAGAACAGAAAGATTGTTAGCTTCCTACAGGAAATGTTTCAAAGCTGTTATTTGTCACAATGGAGGTGGCACTGTTCGAAATAATGTCTAAACATCTGCACTTGTCATTCCCAATTTTCTTACTCTGGGTCAATAAACATTGTAACACACATTCAAATTGTAGAAAGATGCATTTAACTTCATATCAGACGTAGGTTGTATCCAGTTCTGTTCCCTTAGGAATTTACTGAAACACACATACATTTAAAAAATACACATATACATACATAAAATGTATGTATGCATTTACATGTAAGAAAAAAATGTAATAACCTCAGAAGACACAGACTTACAGCAAGAAGGATTTTGGCTGACAAGTAATTTTGATGGGCAAACCAAGCTAACAAACTTTTTTAGGGAGGAAATTCAAAGAAATTCAAAGAAAAAGAAGACACTATTGATAATAATCTCTCCAATGGCCTACAGTCCAGCTCAGATAATGGCTAATCCCCAGAGAGAAAGATGTGATGACAATTTCAGATAGTGTAGATAGCAGAGGTAGATACGACAGGGCCTTCTTTGATTTGCATATTCATTCTAATTATATATGTGTGTGTGTGTGTGTGTGTGTGTGTGTGTGTGTGTGTGTGTGTATACACTTTTTAAATTTATATGGGGGTCAGAGGATATACCTGACAAAAAAAAGTTAGAAGGGGGGCTGGGTGGATTTATTCCCCCCCATTTGTAGAAACACTCTATTTTTGTTTCTCCTTTCTGAGGAGAGGTTTCTCTGCAAACCCTCCAGATGTCCATTTGATTTGAACTTAAGGATGTTTTTAGAAGAACACTACCTCATGATACAGCTTTCCTCTCACCCCAGACCATAGCTGAGCCTCCTCATTTTGTAGTTTTCAGAACCATGGTTGTTAGTTTTCCTAACACAAGCATGAGTATTTTCATGATGTGCAGCTTTGGTAGTGATTGAGCTAATGACATATACCAGGGATGTCTTCATCTATTGTCTGCTTTCAAGTCAATGCAAGATGTTTCCCGCAATCACCCACGGTGGATGATGGCAACAGATGGTTGTTTGGTGGGAGAGACTGATTCTTTGAAGTCATATTAAGATTCTTGAAGTCATTCTCCAAACTCTCCCATTTGTCGTGTCTCTGAGAAAGCAGAGTCAAAGAATTCACAGCTAGGGAGAAAAGACCAAGAAAAAGGCCAAGGCAGCATAAAAAAGGCAAAGAGTAAATCTGCAAAAAGTGGCAGTGGAAAGGAAAACGTAGACCTAGAATATAGGCAGAACAAACTCTGGTGTGAATACAGTAACTGGGCAAAAATGAGAATAGTTGTTGGCATACTGTGCTAAGGATAAATGCATGTGAAAGGATGAAAATTCTAGCAGGTTAAGTGACTTATGCTATAAAGAAGCAAAATTCATTTAGTTAAATGAATATTTAACTCATCTAGTATACTTCATAATTAGATTTTGATGGTGCATACATTTACATATATATTAGTAACTGTGTGTGTTTACTGTATAGAGAGAAATGGACATATATTTACTAGAATTCTTGTAAATACATTATATACTTAGCATGTATAGCAATAAATAGCACTGTATTCCTTTGTTAGGTGTGTGCATGTATCTGGTTTTGTTCCTGTTGGTTCCCATCCTCTGACAAACTGCAAGCTGATGGCATGTCTGGTGTGCTAATAGGTAGCAAGGGGCTGTTGGCTGAAGTAGGATATTCCTCCCAGTTCAGGCAATCTCTTCTCCCATTTGTGGATGTCACAAGTTCCCACCCAGCTTGTTAAAAACTGGCTGAATAGTTCACAAGGAAGAAGTGGTGCTGGCTGAATTGAAAGTCCTCCTGCTGACCCATCAACATATGTAGCATTTAACCCAATAACTGCCAGATATTCTAACATCCTGATACATGCTCTCTAGTTAGGGTTACATAGAGCTACACGGTCCAGAATATCCAGGGTTTGAGTCACCGGGATGGCGAGCGAATTAGACCCGTTAAGGAAGTAGCTTTGCATGATCTGCCCATAGACTTGTCAGAAGGTGATGTCTCCTGATAGGACAATCTGGTTTAATACAATTCACCACCTTTCTCTTAGTTGTTCTGAATGCACAGGTGAGAGCGCTACAGCCAGCCACAAGCCCCCCAAGACCGAGTAGGCGAACAGAGGAATCTCAATGACCAGATGCGGCAGTCAGCCACAGAGTTGATGTCGCAATACCTAGGTCACGAGATCTCCCCACCGTTGCCACCCCATTGAACCCCATAAAACCACACCTACAACACTGCACACTTGTGACAACTAAACCTGTTTTGGTAGCAACACTATTCCAACCGCACCTGGAACATCACGCGCTTGTGACAACCAAACCTGTTTTGGTAGCAACAGTGTTCCAACTGCATCTAGAACATTGCACGCTTGTGACAATCAAACCTGTTTTGGAAGCAACAGTATTCCAGATAAGCAAGAATTACAACAACTTAGCTTTGTCCATGAAGGACAAACAAGACAAACAATGTCTCCAAGACTGGGAGTCATGAAGCGTACTCCCAAGAAGTATCCAAAGCATGCAAGTGCAGTGCATGTATGTCTCCAGCTCACCTGCCACAGTGCAGAAGAAAGAATTGTACGTTTCCTTAGATGTGTCTACGAAGGTGACTGTAGCCTTAAGATACGTCTCACTCTATAGCGGGGAGAGCCACACTTACGTTACCTTGTTTGCAACCATAAGATGCATCAGAGTCTATAGTGGGGAGTGCTGCAGTCTTGGTGTCTTCTTAGTGAAAGCGAGACTAACAATACAAGAAGGCCACACCGTACCAAGGTTACAGCTATGTGATACCGCTTTGGCTGTAAAGCTGACCAACTTGACAGCAAAGACATTGTGCCTTGAACTACAGTCTACCACCTTCTACACAGACAGCAAGGTGATGTCAAGCTACCTCTGCAAACAAAGCAGACACTTCTATGTAAGCAACAGAGAGAAAAGGATTGAAACATCTTTAATCCCTGAACAATGGCAACATGTGCCAACAAATAAGAACTCTGTTAACCAAGTGAAGTGGCCAAACTTCGCCACACAGTTAACAGAATTGATCTGGCTAGAAAGTCTTGAGTTCTTGGTCTGTCCAAATAGACAGATGCCACATAGACTAAAACGTTATGCACTTCCAGCTTCAGATCAAAGTGCCAACCTTCAACCTCAGACATCCAGTAAACATCAACCAATCCACTTCAAAACCCTGTCTAAGCGGAGACACCTGAAATTAGGCATACTTTTGATCGTCTTGATCACTTGTCTCAGCACCCCAAGAATTAGCCTTGTAGGAGCCTGCAAGAACTTACTGATTTTCACAGACTCCATGTCATTAAATAGACCCATACCCACACATGAAGTCCTCACCCTGACGACAACAGTAGCAGCCCTCTTCAATACTCCACCGGTGGTTCCAGACTCTTCGGTTCTTGAGTATCCTGAGTTTTCTGCTCAAGCTGTTGTTCCTGATTCTTCAGTTCCAGCTGTTGTTCCTGATTCTTCAGCTCCAGCTGTTCCTGAGTTTCCAGATGTTCCTGATCCTGAGTTTCCAGCTCCAGCTGCTCCTGAGTTTCCTGATGTTCCTGATCTTGATTCTTCAGCCCCAGCTGTTCCTGTGTTTCCAGATCCAGCTGTTCATGTTTTTCCAGGTTCTTCAGTTCCTGAGTATCCTGTGAATCCAGTTCCCTTCGTTCCTGAGAAGCCTTCAGTTCCAGTTTTTCTGTTCCAGATTTGGTTCCAGTTTCCTTCACAGGAAGAAGATCTTGTGTTGCTGGGAGACAAGATGGCATACCAGAACTACTGGCCCATGGGACTTGCTCACCGGGCCCACCCACTTGACAAACTAGTTTGTCCAGCTAAGGTCCAGATCGTGAAGCCACATGAGTCAGGTCGTGACTCAAAGACACTTGTACCAGGCTGATTATTGATTTGTTCCCGTTGCTGATGAAGACTGAACCAGAAGATCAAACCTCAAACTGTGTATTGTCTTATGCATTGTTTGATGTAACAACAATGCATAATTGCCTTTTTCATAATTGTGCATGTTTTATATTTGCCAATAGTTATGCATGTTTGATACCAAGTTTTTACCTATTTAGTCACAAGTTAGTTAACAATGAGTATTGCATGCCTTATTGCTATGTTTTTACTATTTTACTAGTGGAAATATAAATTTCCAAGCGGGGAGTATTCTGGATTGTATAGGTCTATGTAACCCTAACTAGAGAGCATGTATCAGGATGTTAGAATATCTGGCAGTTATTGGGTTAAATGCTACATATGTTGATGGGTCAGTGGGAGGAGTATCAAAGGTCATTGAGAGACTTCCTGGACACAAGCCAGATGGGATCCTTTGTTCACCAGCTCATGTTCCTAGCCACACGGTTAGGAGATCCTTACCAACATGTGATGCCCAGGAAGAGAAGAAGGAAAAATCCAATATCAATTTACCTGAGGAATAAACCAATATTGCAAACATACTTCTGGATGCATCTACACGTGACTGTAAGTCATTGTCTAGAATTCCCAGAATAAAGCTATATTTCTATTTATTCTTCTGAATTGTCTATCTGTTTGGATTGTACAGAAAGCAACCTGTTCAGTTTGGAACAGAATACTGGAGGTAAAGTGGAGGTGGGTTGCATCTTCCTGGTAAAGCAAGAAGTAGATGTAGTCCTTGACTCTTGACCATTCATTTAGTGACCATGTGAAATTGCAACGGCACTAGAAAATATGACTTATAACCAGTCCTTGCCCTTACAACTGTTATGGTTGTCCCTCTCTGTCGTGCAATTAAAATTCTGGTGCCTGGCAATTGCCATGTATTATGACACTTGCAGTGTCCAGGGGCCACAAAAGTACAATTTATTTTGCCAGCTTCTGACAAACAAAATCAATGGAAACCAGATTCGCTTAACAGCAATGCGATTCACTTAACAGCCACAGTGATTGTTTTAATGACCGCAGCAACAAAAAAAGTCATAAAATTGGGCACAACTCGCAACACCACTTTTCACAGTGACATGTATTCCAGCCTGGTTGTGGTCATATCTTGAGGGCTTCCTGTAATTGAAAATGTTTTCAAGCAAAAAAAACCCAAAAACCCTGGTGCTGTAGTTATTACTGAATAAGTATGTTTTAGCATCATTAATAGTCAGTGACCCCTAACTCCCCCAAAACACTTTAAAACTGGGGTCTAGATCAGGAGTAGACAATTAATTTTCCTAAGAAGCCGCATTGGAAACTGGGACTGTTGTGGAATGCTGCCACTGCCAACCCCGGTTCTCCTGCCAACCCATCCAGCCCCACCCCTGCCTCTGCTGCCAATGCCCCTCTCCCACTGGGATGTGGCTTGTAGGCCATAAAATGCCATAGGATTTTAACCAGTGGTGTGATTTTGCCAGTTCGCACCACTTTGGCAGAACCAGTAGCTAATTTTTTATTGCCCAGGCTCAGAATGGACTTCTGGAAGCAGCATCCACACAGAGAACTGGTTGTTCACATATTTGAATCCCACCACTGGTTTTAACTTGTTGTGCTCATGCTTTAAACATTTTTAAGGTTAACATCTGACCCTCATTCTGTTTCCCTTGATTTCCTTTACCTTCCACTTTCAATTCTACTGACTGTTGTTCACGGTCAGGGCTGTGGATAACAACGCAAACATAAGTGTTGCTATCTGCACCCTGCACATTTGGAAGCAGGAGGCTGGCATTGCCCCGTAGCAGGTCTTCAGGAGACATCTTTGCCCCCTTGTGAAAGATTTCTAATTTATCTTCATACTTAGCAATAATTCTGGTGCCCACACGCCATATCACAGCCAGGCGTTTGGGATCTATATGCCCAGAAGACTCCTCAAAATTACAAGGCAGGGAGACATCAGAACCTGGTTTGGCTTGAATTGTTCCTTCGGGGATTGTAACGGTCAAAGCTTCCTCTGAAAGAGAAAGATAACAGGAAGAATCGCTGTTAGAAAATCAACAGAAGGCACTACAGATGTTTTTCAACTTACCACAGTTCACTTAGTGACTATTCCAAATTACAATGGCACTGAAAAAAGTGACTAATGACCATTTTTCACACTTATGACTATTGCAGATGCTTGGCAACTGACTCATATTTATTATGGTTGCAATGCCCTGGGGTCACGTGATCACCTTTTGCAAACTTCTTCTAAGACAGTCACCTGGGAAACCAGATTTATTTAACAACTGTGTTATTAGCTTAACAACTGCAATGATTCACTTAACAATTGTGACAAGAAAGATTGTAAAATGGGGCAAATTCACTTAACAAATGTGGCATGGGGTGTGTGTGAGCTGAAGCAGCAGCAGCATCGCATAGGCCTGGGGGAGAGTCAGCCGAAGCTGCTGTTTTCCTGGGGCTCTGTTGAGGCCCAGGAATGGTGCATATGGCTCCAGCTGATTGGGGCATCCAGTGGCCTGGGGAAGAGTGATGGGAGCTGTGGGGCTGCTGGATGGGGGGGGGGGAGGTTGTCCAGGATCCAAGAATGAGTGCACGAAGCTCCTGATGAGTGCTATTGGAAAAGGCCAGGCAGGCAGTTGGTGACCAGATGGGGGAGGAGAGAAGAGGATATAAAAGGAGAGTGTTTTTGGCGGGGAGAGGAGTGAGAGGGACAGATGGCAATAGGGAGAATAGGAGAGGCTTCTGTGGAGCAAGTCTAAGGAGAGATGGGAGATAGATTTAAGAGAGGCTTCTGTGGGGCAAGCCTGAGGGAGAGAGTTTGAGTGAAAGGGAGGAGCAGAGGCTGTGGAAGGAGAGCCTCATTCAGTGCAAGAGAGAGAGTGAAAAGAGAGAGAAGAGCTGACCAGTGACATGAATACCTCCCCTTCATGTGACCTGCCTGCTGAGACTGATCACCACTCCAGCATGTGACCCAGGCAAGCAGAGGTACCTGAGCGAGGGACCACTGTGGACCGGCAACCATAACAAGAGGGCCAGGAGAACCCGGATTCCAGTGATTCTTACAGGGATAGCACTACACAAATGTTTCACTTAGCAATAGAAACTTTGGGCTCAATTATGATCATATGTCAAAGACCACCTGTATATGGCTTGGCATCCACATAAGTTCAAGATTGTCTATTTTAGTTAGAAGAGAATAGAATTCTTTATTGGCCAAGTGGACACAAAAGGAATTTGGTTTTGATGCATAAGCTCTCAGCGTACATACGAGCAACAAGTGATAAATCGTGGTCATAATCATAAGATACAATCATCATAAATCATAAGATGCAACACTCAGTGATAGTCATAGGATACTAAATTACCAATGAACAAATCATAATAGAATACTAATAAAAAATCATTAACATAAATCGTAAGATACAAACAACAAAGTTATAGTCATAAGAAACTAAGGAAATAGGTAATAGGAAAGATGAGAAGGATAATAGTAATACAGCCCTACTAGGTAGTTTGATATCCCAGGCATAAGACATATTGTAGGACTTAGTTGTTTAGCAGAGTGATGGTATGGGGGGGGGACTGTCCTTGTATCTAGCTGTTGTATCTAGAGGTCTTCTCAGTTGTGATCAACCCATCTGAAGAGATCTTCTGAGGAAAAGCTGGTTTTGATCCCCACGTTTTTGTGAGCTGGCAAGGGGTTGAAGCCAGAAAATGCTTTTTTCTCCTCATCATGGCACCTCTTCAGAAGGCAGGCAGAGCCCTCAATGATGATCATGTGAAGATAGTGAAGACCCAGCACTTTTGGATGGTGCACAATGCACCATCTGAAACAAAATTTTATTGCTTAATTCATTAGTCAAGGTATGGCTATTTATTGTTGTTTCATTTCATTTTGATCTTGCTGCACTAAATTTATTATATATATATGTCTGACAAATAAATACATAATTGGGATGAGAATGCTATATATCCTTCAGGTGAATAGTAGTTTTGTAAAGGAAGGTTTATTCTTTGACTGAACTACAATTATAAGAATTCCTTGAATGGGGGCTTCCGGTACGGAGCGACAGCGATGGCGGCTATCTTCTAGCCGTCCAGCTGGGAAAGTGTTAGAGCCGCGGAGCGCAGCGCGCATCAGCTGGCCCGCGGCTCGGAATTCCCTTCCCAGGCAAAGGGAAGGGACAGAGAGTACAAGAGTAGAGGTAGAACCCCTGAACCCTCTCTGGATTTAATTCTAGAGGGGGTGAAAGGAGTGTTCCCTCGGAGCTCTTGTTGTCTCCGCCTCCCAGCTGTTTTTGCTTCCTAGGAAGCAAAAGAAACTGCCGCTTCTATCTCCGTGCTTATAGAGAGTTGGTGAGTAATTTCTAAAAAACCGGACAGAGCAGTTTAAAGGATTTTTTCTTATATAATTTAGGTGTTTATTTTTTTTACTTAGTTTTGATTATTTCTCCTTTTTTTTCTTTTTGTTATTGTGGAGAAGGAATTAAGATGGCGTTTTGAAAGTGACGGAGTTTTTTTTTCCTTTGTCTTTTGTTTCACTTTCTCCTTTTAAGGACTGGACTTTACTTTTGCTTTTGGTATTGAATTCTCTTTTTTGATTTTTTTTTCTTGGTCTTTTTTCTCTGGATTTTCAAGGATTATAGTGTTTTTGCTGCCTCTTTTAAAAGTTAAAATTTTTCTCTTTCCCCCTCATCTCTTTTTTTTGGGGGGGGGAAAGGGAAGTGAGAACTGTGTCATTTAAAATGGCTTCAAAGAGACAGCCGCCTTCTACAACATCCAAGGTGATTTCCTCCCCTATAACTTCTACTGCACAACCACAACAACAATTTAAACATGCACCACCGGCACAGCCATCACCCTCCCCTCCTTTGCCTGGACTTTCAGCACAAGAGGTTAGAGGTATAATGGGAGAGGCTGTAGCTCAAATGAGAGAGGAAATGAAGCAATTTTCTACACAGCTTAAATCAGAAATTAAATCTGACTTCAAAGAAGAGATAAGTGGGATAAAGGATCAATTGGAAAATAACAATAATATTTTGCGACAAGATATACTTGCAGCAGTCTCAGGTTTGGCTACAGTGGTGGTTAAGCTGGATGCAAGACTCGAGGAAGTTGAAGATAAAGTTGATTCCTTTGATGACAAAATTCAAGATGTGGAAAGGAAGGTGGAGACTTCACAAGAAGATATTCTGATGTTTCAGTATAGGCAGATGGAATATGCTTTGAGGATTAGAGGCCTCAAGGAAGATATGAATCAAGATCTGATGGAGGTGGTCCTTACTGATTTGGCTGTGGTTTTGGATATGGATAGAGAATTATGCAGAGAAGTTGAAAAAGTGTATAGGCTTAACTCCTGGATTGCTAAGCAGAAGAATTTGCCTAGAGATGTGGTGATCTATTTTACGAAGAAGTCTCTGCGTAATGAGATCATACAAGCCTTTTATAATAAAAGATTTCAGATAGCTGCCCAAGATGTCATCATACTAAAGGAAATCCCATCAAAAATTTTAAGAATCAGGAAAGATTTTGCTTTCTTAGCTAATGAGCTTAAAGCTAGATCGATGCCATTTAGATGGGAAATCCCGATGGGTATTGTTTTGAGCCATGCGGGGACACGTTATAGATTGAATACGGTTGATAAAGCTAGAGAATTCTATACTTCAGTCCTAGGTGCAGGCTCAACTTTACCTGTTCAGAAATCCCTGAGTGGCAAAGAGGCGGAGCAGCAGTCTGAGGCATTAGGTTTGGTTTCTGCTGGGATGCTGCAAGCTGAAGGGCAACGCCAGACGGAGGTTAAAGAGCAGAGAATGACTCGTGCAGCTTATAAACGTAAAGAGAAGGAGCAACGTAAGAAAGAGGCCAAAGAGATTTCTCCTGGAAATGTATCACCGCCGGTGGGAGGAGCAAGACCCAAGAGTCATGCAACACATGTTGCAATTTCAGATCTCCAAGGTGTCTTCTCCAGGCTGCGGGCCAAGGGAGATGGCAAAGTTTTTGACCTGGAATGTTAATGGATTGAATTCTCCTCAGAAAAGGAAAAAAATCTTTTATTATTTGAAGCAACGTAATAATGATGTTATTTGCTTACAGGAAACTCATATTTTACTTAAGGATCAGAAATATTTAGTTAATGCCCGTCTGGGATCTCACTTCGTATCTTCTGCTCCCGGGAAGAAGGGGGGAGTTGTTATCTATGTTAAGCAAAATCTACCAGTTTGTCTGGTGGAGTCTGACCCCCAAGGGAGATATGTGATGGTTGAATTGGGCTTATATGGTAAGAAAGTACTTATAGTGGGACTATATGCACCAAATCAGCAACAGGAACAATTTTACAGACTCTTACATGAAAAAATAAATCTGCTGGACTATAGATCCGTGGTACTAATGGGGGATTGGAACGGTGTCTTAGATGTACAAAGGGACAAAAAAGGTTCCTCTCCTCTTCTTAAGCAGGCAAAATTACCTAAAGCCTTTTTTGATATGAAAGAGGACTGGGAATTACGGGACTATTGGCGGGAAGGTAATCAAGAGGAGAAAGACTTTACCTTCTTTTCAGATAGACACCAATCCTTCTCAAGAATTGACTTCTTCCTGATCACAACGGACTTATATAATAGAGTAAAGAATGTCAAGATTTTCCCTAGGTCTTTGACGGATCATAGTCCAGTCTGGATGGAGTTGACTCAAGAAAAAGAGGAGAGAAGATCCTGGAGGGTGAATGAGAATTTATTTAGACAAGAAAAAAATGTTCAGAAACTAAAGGAGTGTTTAAAGGATTATTTTGCTTTGAATATGTATAAGGGGACTTCAATGTCAATGGTATGGGATGCAGGGAACGCATTTATGCGTGGGATTTTGATAAAAATGAATAACTGTCATAAGCAAAAACAGATTCAGAAACGTAAAGAATTGGAAGATGAAATTAAATTAAAAGAAAAGTCTTTGATTTTAAATCCTTCTGATGAAAGTATTAAAGAATCCTTAAAGTTGTTAAGAACACAATTTAAT